CCCAAATCCCAAAATAAGGGGACCCCAATATAGATCCCAAAATACTAGTCCTTATTATAGGGACCCCCAAAAAGGTGTATTCATGTCGCCTTCAGGCTTTTGTCTGCATGCCCTGCGGCCAGATGTAGCCTGCAGCACTTCTACAGTCGTGGGTTCAACTAGTACCCCCCCTCTATACTACCCCCCCTAGGTTCCCCCTTTATTAAAATGATTTAAGGATACTTAGGCTTCATTAAGGGGTAACCTAGGGGGGGTAATATAGAGAGGGGGTACTAGTTGAACCCATAATACAGACTAATTGCACAGACTAAAATACATGTTCCGAATTTGTCGAGATCACCGCCAACTCCTAGTCATTGTGAGATGCAACCTGTCGTAGCAAGAAAAGACATGTCATGGTACCAGCATCCTATCCTTTTACAGCCGACATTCTGACTCCAAAACATCTAAATGAGCCAAGCCCAACACCCTCCTTCTTTTGGTCCTGTATGTCCCAACCCCTAACCCCTAAAGCCTAAACCCTAAATCCTAAAGCCTAACCCTAAACCCTAAATCAAAAAAACCCTAAACCCTAAATCAAGAAACCCTAAACCCTAAACCCAGCATAGCAGAAGGAGCCACAGCCGAGGATCGTATACGGCAAGCCTTGCTCTGGCTCCCTTGACCAAATCTCTGGCAACCTGGGATCATGATAGGTTTAGGGTTCAGGGGCTAAGGGTTTAGGGGTTTAAGCTTTAGGGGTTAAGGGTTTAGGGGTTTAGGTTTAGGGGGGCAACACCAAGAGCCATAACAGTTTTGCTGAGCATCCCAGCGCGGAATGGGTTTGAGGGTTGGAGGATTGGGGTTTCGGGTTCATGTGTTTAGGTCCCGTGGCCGGTCGTACGCCAGTCGGCAATTTGCTGACTCTTCATGTGGGTAAAACCACTAATATTGTCAGCCAGAATGGTTTTGCATCCTTCTAAACAACGTTGGTGGATATTCAGGGTAGGTCTTCGAAAGTTGATGAGGGCTGTACAAACAGCTTAAAGTTTAACGGGCTTGGGGTTCACCCTTTTGAGGTTTGAGATGGTTTGATGCTCAGTCCAGTCTCGTGGTCTGAGCCGTGGCCCGGTCCAGGGGCCGGTCCACAGTCCCGTGCCCGGTTTAAAAGCCCCCATGCGGTTTAGTGTTTAGGGCTTGGGGCCGTGCGAAAACAAACACGTCCCACGCCAAACACTAAACCCTACACAGTAGGTTCGATTTCATTGTTATTTGACTCTCCACTCTTGGAGTACTGACTCCAAACCCTGAACCTTAAACGGTACTTTCCATCTCATGTTCAAGTTTATGTTCCATGCTCTTTTTCATGTCATTGTTCATTGTCTTTTCCATTTTTGATTCGGCGCTATTGGAGTGATATCCTGAAACCCCAAATATCACTACATAACCGCACTTTCAATTCCATTTTCAATGTATCCATTAAACCTAAAAAATTCCTGCCCTAAACCCTATATAGTCCAAACATAAAAACCCTATTCACAGCCCATATGACCCCTCTAAAGGGACCCTGATCTTTTCTCAATCCTAAACGCCAAAATTCAGCTATGGATCTACGGCGGCAAAGAGCTCGGCAGCCGGTCCGCCGCCGAAAGCTGCCACCCGTAGAGGTCCGGCCTCTTGGAGATCCAGGTTCATTCTATATAGGCTACCTTTAAAGGAGCTATAGGGAGATGTAGGGCTTTTTGGGGCATAGGATAAATATGACACAACTATATCTGGTACTTAAAATACGCTTAGTGGACCATATTAGCGGACTTAGGGCGCTCTTACTTAAATCGAAATTTACAGTTCTAATGGGGTTCTACTTAACCTGAACCTCCAAGCTCTCTTTTCCGAAGCACACTACACTGCTGCCCGTAAGGGTTGCCCAGCAAACTTTGCTCTGGCTACAATGCATGCTGGAGCCGTCTGCGAAAAGATATCCCATCTTGCACCGCATCCATCAGTTTTCTCGAAGGCTTAAGGCTTTGGGTCTTGTGACAATTCGTGTCGGACTTGCGTCCGGAAACTTCTCGCCAGCCTTCTAAGCCTACATCTCATTATCATTTTGAAGCCAGCTCCAGGGGTGCTCGCTCCAAAGTGACAGGTTGCTTGTGTTTGCCAGGCATTCCGGGGCCCTTGCAAGCTTAGATCGCAGCGCTGGCGGCGCAAACTTCATCAGAGCATTAAACGCCATGGTCGATCGGAGGGCAAACTTTTCTTTGGCGTACCTGAGGCTACTTGGCCGGCATCGCCAATTGAAAGAGCGTTGCTTGATGTGACCTTCCTCCTGCGACCATGAGGTTCGGACCCCCACAGTGCTTCGACATCAGAGAAATCATCCGGCTCTTGCTGACATCGGCGCATCTGATTCTGGACTTCACGTGCCTTTCATTGACACAAAACAAAGCAAGAAGACCTGATAGGTTCTGACAGGTCACAGCAATGAAGCAGCCACAGCGCCTTCTGGGCACGAAGCGTCGCAAGGGACCGCTCGAGCCGTTCCGTCGGCGCCTCATCCGCTTCGACGTTGTCATCAGCCACTTTGGGCTCACACGTCGACCTGTGGACGGATGGAAATTACCTCTTGATTGATGCTTTTGATAGCGCAATGCACGCTGCCTGGCCTTTGGCAGAGATGTAGAACGAACCTCTCAGCAAGCTTGGTGAAAGTGGAGTCGCCACCTGGCCAAGGCCAGAATCGAAGGACCTCTGCTCCAGTACCAGCTCAATAGATTGGAGGCTGAATTCACAAAGTATCGGCAGGTGGAAGAAAAGCATTGGGGCCCCTGGCAGACGACGCTGTTGGATTCCGTGATCCAGAGGGTGGTGATAGCTGCGACCACTTGGGCCCTGCCTAAACACAGAGGCGGAGGCTTGCATGAGATATCTGACCTGGAAAGGCCTGGCTTGCAACGCTCAGACTCGCAAGCAATCTCCGGCCTCACTGCCTTCGTCGATGGCTGGAGGGGATCGAGGGTTCAGGAGTCCTCAGGTGACGATGAACCATCTGAACATCTCAGAAAGCCATGCAAGTAACTTTGCGTCAGACACCGCACGCGTTGGTTTGCCAAGTATCGAAGCTACATCGAGCTGGATGCAACTTTGAGTCGCTTTCGATGGGTCTTGCCGCTCTGGTGCGTCTGCCAGGATGCAGCTGGACCAACCCAGGAGAGTTGGCATATGGCACAATGATGTGATTCCATCTCCTGACCAGGGCAGCAATGCTTTTTCGAATCTTGAAACATGTCAATGTTGGCGAGCTGTGGCCAACAAACTGTATCAAATTGGCCGACCGCCTCTGCCTCCATTCTGCAGCTGGCGCCCGCGAATGGCCATTGGGCATGGGCAAGGCGGAGTTTTGTTCTCGCTGCATGAAGATGAATCCGATGTTGCTGGGTTTCATTGATGACAAGGCCCCCTGATAGTGCTCAAAATATCAGAAGGAGAGTTAATTTTGGGGGCTTAGATTCTACCATCGCTGCTGCGGCTATCACTCAAATGCGCCAAAGAAGATACATGGGTGTTAGCAAACTGCTGTCCTAGCAAGCAAATCACATAAACTCGTGTAAATTTCTGGCATGTGCTCGTGGAAAGGCAGACCGGCACAGAATACTGAAGATCATTGAAGCTCTCAATCGGTGACCACAGCTGGACAAAGCACGTGGGGTTTCCCAAAATTAGGGACGCCTTTTAGGCTGTCCCTACAATAGGGATTAGAATAATGTTGTGGGGTCTATATGAGCCAGAATCTAGACTCCTAGTTCCCCTAAGTAACCCCTATAATACTCCCTTATATAGTCCCCCATGTAGCCCCCCCTTTAAGGAGTGTATAGTCTATAGGTCATATCAGCTCCTGAATCATCCTCGCCAAGGTCTCAGTCTTGTGCAGCACCACCTGACTGTGGGCAATGCCATTCAGAACACCCTATAAGTCAGGGTTTAGGTTAGGTTTGGGGGTTTTTAGGTCCTGTGAAATGGGGTTTCGGGTTTAGGATTTAGGGTCTATTTAGGTGGACCCCCCACCCAGTGACTACAAGGGATCGTGGCGAGTATATTGGGGTCCTTCTTAAAGTCTTATATTCCTATTAGGCCACTATTGCAAGGTGGGGCGTCCAACTAACCTATAAGCCTGGCTCTAAGCCCGTATGCAGGCCTAGCTCACATTTGATTGTCTATTTGATTTTCGCTGTAACACTACAAATAAGAACAGTAAGTAACGATATGTAAATGACAAATCAAAATGAGGAAATAATTGATATACCAAGATGAGGAAGGAAGTAAATCATTAGAGCACGTCAGGTCCAGCCCCTCAAAGAAGATCATGCGTCTTGCCCTTAGCTACCCTACACCATATATATATATATACACATACATTCCTATAAACCCCGTGTCCGTTTCAGGCTCCATGTGATCTAGGCCCTAAACCCTTGCCTCCAAATCCTAAGCCCTGAACCCAAAACATCCCAAAGCTACATCCCTATATAGCCCCTGTGCGGGGATCCAAAGCACCCTGACTTACTGGTTGATCGTAAGGAACAAGGGAAAAAGATCCCTATACAATCTTCATAATCCTGTATAGTATATTCTACAAGCCCTGAACCCTAAACCCTATAATAATACCCAGATATATATATACATGTATAAACTCCCATATTCCTTGCTAGCCCCCAGTAAGCTGAAAGAGGCATTAGGCCTGCTCTTGCTGTTTTGCGAAATCGTTGTCGTCTTCCGACAGTTCGAGTTCCTCCCCCCCGGCTTCGGATTTAGAATTTATGGGTGATGGGAATACATGTAGGGTTTAGGGTTTGGGTTAGCAGGAAGTATAGGAACGTATATTGTGTAGGGATTATATTCCCTTATTCCCAACAGACAACCAGAAAGTTTGGGGATTATAAGGTGCAAAGGTGGAGGGAATTCGGACAGTTCTGGCCAAACAGAAGAACACATCAAGAATCGTCTCTAGGCTTCTGCGATGCGTCCTCCAACAACGACATCGCAAACTTCAATGCAGCAATCTCCGCTGCTCGCATGACTCGCAGCCTCGGCAAAACGAAGCTGTTGCTCGGCGATCCTTTACGATCCATCAACTGCCAAGTCATTGCAAAATGCGCGCGTGTACTTCTGGAGCATATGCTATACATCATACATCTTGGCGCACTGCAAAGAACCAAGCAGCCGTGTTGAACATCAAAAGCAGTTGATCAAGACTAGTTCTGCCTGTATTTGAATCATCTAACGTGTGAGCAAGAGGTCCAGGCAGATCCATCCACGCATCGAAGAGCTCCTCGTTGTCCTTCGCAGGGACACTCCGTCTCCCATGATGTCCCATACGCCCGGTCAAAAGAGCAGGGAAGGCAGATCCTGGATCAGGCCGCGAAAGGTGCCCTCATCAGCTCGGAGGATTCGCCAGAGGAGGTTAATGTCCGCACCTTTGAGCAGCTGAGGCGAGAATGTCCTCATCCTTTAAGAACTCGTAAAACTCTCGGCTCTGAGCAGATGCCATTCTCCATCAAAGTGGCTTGGTTCTCTAAGTTCGGACCTTCCAGACAAACAATGCAATCTGAAGTGTCGGCAGAGCACAATGCGCCTTGAATCAGCTCTGCGGCTGTGTCAAACAGCTGCTGCACAAGAACCTGAAGAGCGTAGGCACACGTCCTTTGGAACAGCTTTGGTCCACAGACCTAACTGCATGTCTGTACTTCAGAGTAAAACATGGTAAAACTGCAACTCGACACCAGCTCAGCCAACAACATACTGCTTCTCTCGCCCGTTCATGGTAGCCTGCCAGTGACCAGACCGCAGATCTAAAAATATTATGCTGTCAAACATTTTGACAATTCAGGATAGCAGGTAGAAAATGCTGGCTGAAAATGATGTTTGATGCAGCTCTTGCTTCTCAAAAGCAGAGCTACATTGACATGGTCAGAAGCATATGCGCAATGCAGTGGGCGCGATGCCTCTTGCATGCTCTCCAAGATCATGTGGATCCTGGGACGTTGCACTTGGAATCCACCCTTCTAGATATTCTAGGAACGCACAGCTGCGCATGGTTCTCTGAGCACCAGTCATACGTGAAATCCACTGCACGATATTTGTCGGCCTGGCAGTGAACTTCCAGTTGCCTTCATTCCAAGGGAGAGCCTGCTAAAGCGACCACTTGCCTAGGTCTTTGAGTTTCTGCGGCTCAGCTGGTGGCAATATGGAGTACGACCCTTCTACAGTACAGTCAGAACCTTAAGGGCAACATCATGCTGCAGAATGCTGGGCTGGAGTACTGCTCGTTCTTCTTCTCCTGATCTTGCTCGTGTCTCCGACCTTCTGCCTCGGAATGTTAAGTGCATGTTGTCCACGATTCGAAGTGTTCTGCGCTTGAGTCTACAATGCCTTGTGGTCATCATCGTCTTCTCCCCCGGGCAGTGTCTTTGCCGAGAAGATGTCAAGCTCCTCAACTTGAAGGCTCTTTGCAGCTTTGTCACTACAGCGCAACATGCTCAAGGATCATGGCCTCAACGGTGTAGTCGGCCCCCAAGAATTCTTGAAGCGCTTGGAGGTGGCCCTCACCTCCACATCTCTGCATGCACAGCTTTGGTGAAAGGGCCGTGAGTCTGAGGATGTGGCACAGCTGTTGTATCAGCTTTAGCCTTGGGCTGGCTCGCTCCCTTCCACGTGTCCCCAAGCTTCAACGCCGGCTAAGAGCCATGCATGGCTGCCATCATATCGATGTGGTTCTCGGTGTACGTATCGCCTTGTGCGAGGCTGCTAAAGTAGCATGAAACTACGAAGCTGCATGGTTCGTGAAAGCGCTGGGTCATCTCACGCTTGTAGAGATCTTCGAAAACGCAGAACTGGAAGCCGACCGCCTCCAGTTGACCGATGTTTTGGCTCCGCTTTGGTTGAGCGGAGCCCTTCTTCCTTATTACAGAGCAGTCACACAACAGGGTTACCTTCTGCAAATGCATCTCGTCGCTGGTGTGAGTTTTGTATGCCTGGTGCATCCGCAGTCAGGTTGTGTTTTGAAAGGAAGCTAGTAGATGCAGCAAACTTACTACTCCAGCCTCTTGCAACACTTCGTTGGGATCTCTCAAGATGCGGCAGCCCAGCTTGAATGCATCCAAGCGCATCAGAGCCTCTTGAGACAGCAGACATACAACAAAAAACACATTAGCAGTGTCCTGTTTTCTGGCAAAGGAAGCCAGCGCTCCTGCGGATGGTAAAGAAGGACGGAAACCAGCATGAGCGGGTCCACTTCTGGCACCTGCGCCTGGGGTTGAAGAGTTAACAGGCTTCAGATGCCCTGGACCGGTTTAGCCCGCTGATTTCTCCGTGCCTCCTCAAAGAAATTCTTGAGCTTTGCAACAACTGAGTTCGTGCTTCCTGCTCCTGTGGCCTTGCAAATTATGTGCTTAAATGAGCTAAAGTCTAAACTCCTAGTATCCCCCTTAATAACCCCTATAGTAGTCCGCTATACAATCCCCTATATAACCCCCCTTTAAGGAGTTTAGACTCTAGCTCAAATGAGGTCGTCCGCTTGCAAGGACATCCTTCATCAGACAAGCTCGAAGCCTGCTGGTAGCTGAAAGGACAGAAGAAGGTGGCCTTGCAGTCACCGCATGTCTTAAACATGAAGAGTTGTTCAATATAGGTTATGCAGGGGTTATATTGAGATAATGGAAATTAAAATGGAAACCACTACTGTACAGTATATAGGGATTATATAAGGGACATATAGGGGATCCTCTGCAAGCAGCGCACCTTCTCTGTCAGGAAAGTAAGATTCATCTTTCCGTTGGGGCTGTTGACAATGCATTGAGAACCTGAGAGCTTGGTATACTGCCAAGGGTCAGAGCTACAAAAGTAGGAGCTTGGGCTAACACTTGAGGCCACAAATCTTGCCCATAGCTCTTCGATCTCATCGTTCCGGCTCAACAACTCCTGAAAGCGTGAGCTTTTTCAGTTCTGTTGTTGCTCCAATTATGCTGCTTCATGGCAAGAAGTGGTTTCCGAAAGGAGGGGCCCATCTTTCCGAACGCGGTATAATTCTTAATGTGGGGACTCCAAAAATGGGCTGCCCAATTTTTTGGAAACCGCCAAGATTGCTCTGACAACCTGAAGAATGTTCAACACTGCGCGACAGGAAGACCACATTGTAAGTTCCTTGGCAAGGACAAACATGGGAGCTTCAAATCCAAAAGCCTACACCTGGGGGGCTTTAGGACTCCTTGGGATCTGTGGGGAATACGAGGGGGCCATAGGGGTTCTCCTTCATGATTCTAGGGGGCAATTTGAGGACTTCAGGTTGGCGGAGTCTTACCACGTCAGTGCAGCCAAAGCTTTATACAAGGGTATGCCCCATCTTGTAGGAGTGTAAAATCCATCTCCATCTATATGAGCCATAGTCTAAACTCCTAGCATCCCCTTAATAACCCCTATAGTAGTCCCCTATATAATCCCCTATATAACCCCCTTTAAGGAGTTTAGATTATGGCTCATATAGCTTCTCGGCTGGCATCTGAAGAGACTGGCAATAGGCACCTGGCTGCTGAACCACCTTCGCCCTCCAGCCCCAAATCATTCTCCTTCTCCAGGTCCTTCGTTTGTGCACAGCTGGCGGCAGTTCATCCAAAAGGGTTTCTTGCTTTTGCCACTTTGCTACCTATTGCTTCTGTGTTTGCCAGCATTCACGGTGGTGCCAGCCTGCTCGTCCTCCACGCCTGTGGAAGTGCTTCCACAGTAATCAACATGGCAAGCTGCACACCGAGGGCATTCTTGACTGCATGTACTGGGGAGCCCCGCCATCTGTGGCGCTGAGTATGTCCATCCGTTGGATTCCCAAGAAAGCCACCGTTCGGATGGCGTGACACAGGCGCCTAACAGCAAGGTTCTGAAGCTTGTTCTCTGTAGTGACTGATAGTGCTGAAAATTGTGTGTTGCGCGAGCGACAGTGGAAACAACAAGACAGTCCTCTAGGTTGAACAGTTCTCCCCACATGCACTTTGATCGGACCAACAGCAGATGCGCTGACAAATGTGGAGCAATCTAGTACAGCACTTGCGCATGCACCTGCTCCTACATGAAAAAGACAAATACAGAAGAATACCCACCATTGCATAGCGGCAGCAGTGCAAGAACAAGGATTTCAGGCAAATAGGTACCAACACATTCGCATGCACACAGCTGCGGATGACTTCTAGCAGGATTGCTAGCTTTAGGCTCAACAAAAAATAGTTCTCGAGATTGGGCTCTGGGTCAGCACTTGCTGGGGCACTTGTCCCGTTGCTGCTCTGCAAAGCCATAATTAGGCACACCCTCGTGGATGTAGCCTCTGATTTGTACTGAAGTGCATGTGAGCTGTTTCCTGATGCTAGGGCTGCCGGTGTTTTCGTGTCCAACCAGCTGAGGGTCAGGCATGATCCATGTCTGCACCAATAGTAGTCGCGCCTGCTGGTGGGGCATCACCCATCGAAAATCATGGGAAAGGGTCTCAGAGTCGTTTAGGGTTGCAAGACTATTATGTATTATAATATACTATAAGGTACTAAAATATACTATAATGTACTGTATTATACTATAATGTACTATACTATACTATACTATACTAAAATTCCCATCATGTCCGGTCATCGTCAACAAAGGTAACATGCACTGCTCGCTGCCTCTGCAGGTATCAACTCCCGGACCTCCAGCATGCTTACGAATAACTTGCAACAAATTCTCTCGGCTCCACTGGATTAGCATGTACTATACTATACTATACTATACTAGAATATACTGTAATATACTATAAAAATACTGTAATATACTATAATATACTCTAATTTACTATAATATACTATAATATACTATAATGTTCTATAATATTCTGTTTCCTGATTGTAATCCTAGGATTAGCCGAGGCACCCCTTCCTCATCCACGGCTCCGTCATCGATGCGCCGCTTCAGGATCCTGGCAAATCTCATGCAACCTCCTTCTCAACAGGAAATAGCACAGTATAGTACATGATAATACATTATAGTATATTATAATACAGTATAATACATTATAGTATATTCTGATATATTATAGTACAATATAGTACATTATAGTATATTCAAATATTATATAGTACAATCTAGTGCATTATACTATATTATAGTATATTAAAACATATTATAGTACATTCTAGTTGGCCGCTCGTGCACGGGAGCCTTAGTCACTGCCCAAGCATCCCAAGCTTCCCGTGGCCTGTCCTGGGAACGTCGTCCAGCTCATCATGGTCGACAGAATCGTCTTGAATGCTCTCGTAAACCTTGGCTACTGCAGCACTGCGTGTTACAAATCTGCAGCTGGCCCTTTAGTTAGAGCACTGCTGCGCCATTTCTAGTCTGCAATATGTTGAGGGATCATTTTCGCACATATCCAGGCTTGTCGGGAGGATTCCGGTTGCTGTCCAGCAGCTTCCACCATGGATGGATATTGAACATACAGCAGCTCAGCATTCTCCACCTCCAGCTTCTCAAGGAAGACATCCAGCATTACGAATGACCTCAGCGCATGTGACCTGGAACTGTGCTCCGCTACGAGTACCCCAGTTCTCAGTTATAGTTTGGCTCGTTACGGCTCGTTGGCCAGCCAGTGTTTCGTTGAGAAATATGGAGAAAATCAGGGATTTATGCCCTGTCCCATCCTGTCTTTACACTTAATTTTCCCTTGGAAACTACATTACTGATGCGGGTAAATCTTGAATCTCACCACTTATTTTCCATAACAGAAGATGCCTGGCAAAACATCAGTCATCACCCAAGATTCGCCTTGTGCCCCCTCAAACAACTTGAAGTGTCAGTGCAAGAGCGGGAGATGCACTGGAACTGAAATCTGCCCGCAGCGAACCACATGCAATCCAGCCAAACCAAACTCAACAGCCCCACAGTGCGTACAGACTTCTGACTCTTGATCTTGAGCATACTGACTTCCGCAGTGGAAGTTCACTCAAAACCTGGAAGCGCTTCTGCTGAGAAGACTCCCACTCACAGATCTGATTGCTACAAGTATGCAGAAGACTGCAGAACAGCAGTCGGGACTCCAAGAGAGCCGACCTCAACCCTTCACAAGCCCACTTTCATGAAAACCTTGTTTGGCCAGCACCTGATAACACCGCCTTTTCGAGCCTGGAATGCGCAAACGCTTGGTTTACCAAGTCCCTTGCACGGCTCTTCTGAGCATTGCAATGATGAAGTCATGCTCATGCTCCCGTGTGGCCTTCCACGCCGAACGGTACCACGGCAGTTTCCAAAGCAGTCATACTGCATGCCTGTAGAAGACGCTCGTCGAGTCCCTTGGACTGCTTCTCAAATTTGAAGCACCGGTCCTTTTTGAAAACAAGGCCGTCTCATGTCTTCTCAAAATTTCTGTCACAGCCAGGGTCCTCCACTAGGTCGATGACCTCAAGTAAAAGCAAACTGCCCCTGTGCCTTCATGAGCTGATGAGCTATCATCTCCACTCCAGGGGCGCCTTCTCGGTAAACTTTGGCATCAACTCGTGAATCACCCGTTTTGCCATGCTCACCTGAAGTAATATTTGGATATTCCGGGCATTTGCGGTAGTCGTAGAAGGATCGGGCCTTCTTCCCATCGAGCTCAAGTCCGTCCACAGGATTTATCGGCCCAGAATCTGCCTCCTGTCAGAGAATCTGCCAAAATCACAAAGGAAGCCAAGGGCACTGGCAGCTCAGCCGCAGGCATTGGTCAGGGCGGCCTACTCATGGGGCATCTCTGGCTGTAGCTTCTGATAGTGAACTCACAAGCATACTAGACTCATTCTTGCATCCCTTTGCCAGTCGTCCTCGTTGTCCTCATCCCTGCAAGGCACTGCTCTGCAAATGCTGGATAGCACTGAGCATGACAGAAAACATGCTAAAACCATCAGAACATGTTGCGTCTTCACAGGGATTTCGCGTGAACTGTAAGCCATGTCAGCAGTGCTCGTGACCAGGTACCACGGGCCGAAGGGCTTCTGCTTGCCTGCACATGGCAGACTCCTTCGTTGAAGGACTGCGCTTACTGCTTGGGTTTCTCTGGGCTGGCTCTGTGTTGTACAGTTCAGAACGTAGCACCATGCTTTGCGTGGGTACACGTCTCTGGAAAGATGCCGCTCGCGGAACTCTGCGGCATTCTGACCGTACACCCAAGCACTGTCACGGAACACACCTGCGCGCACCGACCCTCGCCGCACGCATGATGACCTCTGGGGCGAAGGCCTGCGGAGACAAACCCAAGCACTAAGAAAACTGCCTGCAGAAAATGATAAGAACAGTACTGGTAGTCATCTTGTTTCGAGCGAGACTGCCAGTTTAACTGCTTTTAGGATTACTTCTGTGCTTTGGACTCGACAATCTTGCTGCTGTTTCTTCGCACGTCCCCACCTAAATCCACCTGATCGTCTTTCATGCGTGGATTCCTCAAAAAATGGGACCTGGAGTAGGGATGCAAGAGGGTTGCGCGCAGCTTCGAGCAACTTCCCTGTGTGCGTTTGCTGGCATAGCTTCTTTCTCCCAGATCCCCCCAATCCTCAATCACCTGAAGAACTGCGGGCCTTTGTTAGCATGCAATGTAGGTTGAATAAATCGCAGGTCAACGCACACCTTCGAGGCCCTTATAAAACAAGTGTGTTGTGAAGCCCGAGCAGCTTGTTGGCCCCTGTAATCAAAGCAGTGTGCTGGAGGCCCACTAGTAACAGGTACAAATATTCGTCAGAGGCGCTCAGAGGATTCAAAAGCATTCAAAAGGCTGCTAGGCATTTGCCCGGATCCATGTGATGAGAGCCATATGCCATACGTACTACTCCCAAAGCTACAGTACTCCAACGATGACACAAAGAAGAATCGCATTTTGCAGAGCCATCTGCCTTTGGTGATGTCAAGGCTACCATTCGCGGATTCGAGACGGCGAGCTGGAACTCTGCCGTGTCAAACAAGCAGCGGCTGCGCCTCAGCTCAAAGAATCCACAAGGCGTATCTGCACCATCGTATCTCACATGCTCGGATGCCATGGCACTCAAACTGTCAGAGGCCATTACAATGTGAGAGTATGGCATCCCAGCAGTTGCAGTCTTACCTGCAGGTCAAGACTCTTTCGTTGAATGCACGTGACCCCTTAACCCCTTACAAACAAAAGCACTTCGCGGCGCCTTGACGCGACCTAGATTGTTGGACATGTTCTTCAGGAATACCACGTCTTTGCCTTGCATGATAAAGCTTAGCCATCAGGCTACACCAGTTCCCCGGCAGATTTGTTGAGGCGCGCGCCGTTGACTTCCACCTCAAAGTACACCTGGTTGTGGACGAGTCCTGCAAGTGCAAGACAGGCCATCAGCTTGCTTGCAGCACTAGTTTACGTAGATGCCTAGTCTTGCCTAGTTAAGCTACTGGGGGAATGATCTGGCATGATTTGGCAGAAAGTTGGCCTACTGTCCAGCCGCTGGGCACTCAGCTTAAAGATATGACGTTGAAAGGCACGTTTGGAAACAAAGATTTCAAGTTTTGTGCTTTGAGCCCGGCTGAATATACCAGCTTGGATGTTTCTGCTTGCAAAACGGCCTTCTCCAGCCGTCCCATGCCCTCGCCAGTGCATGCCTTCCTTGGGAAACACGCATTGTTATAGCTCTGCTGTAACACAGACATGCTCAGGCGTTCTGATGTTTTGGAGACGTTCCACGGGTCATGTGCTGCAGCTTATAGTGGCTGCTAGAGACGCGAGATGACGCAAGTCTAAGCCTCAGGTGCCGGCCTTGCCCTTGTCTGGCTTCTGAAGGGACAGCCCAGCGACGTTGCCATCACCTACCCAGCATGTGGTGGCAGATTGTGCGAAGCAAGGCCGATAAGGCCCGCTTTTCTTCAAAGCAACCATTCCCTTAAGTTATGAACAGCTTTAGATGCAAGAGAGATGTGTAATCCAAACGGCAAACGGTCCGCTTTGCCTGGACGAAGCACGTGGACTTCACAGCTGAACTCCTTCATTCCAGCCCAGGGGAAATTCCCATAGCTTCTTCATATCTAATGTGACATGTTGTTTGCTTCGCACTTCACCTGCAGAAGGTTCTCGCCCGAACTCAGCTTGAAGCTCAAACCTGACCGCAGACATGCACCAGGAATGGCCAGCAACGAGCAATGCCAGGCAAGCATTCATGGGTTGTCTTCTGACAGTACAGTCGAGTCAGATACTACCACAAGTCATTTATCAGGGGACACTGACATAGACAAATTTGTCAGATTGCCTTGCAGTCTCTGCACGATCTCCTTCCCCACGCGCCACAGTCGCTCCTCTGCAAAGGAACACTGAAAACAAACAGATCTCTCCAAAGGTTCTAAACTCTCAGACCGAGCGTTCCAGCAACCCTGACATGGAGAAGAGCTACTGCTCTCTACTAGTAAACCAGTGGACATGGGCACGTTTCGAAATTCAAACTGGGCAGATGCTCCAAACCACTACGAGCAGAATCCTGAACAAGGGGGCCTGCAAGAAGGGATCATTATGTTGACAAACACTATAATACACTATAGTATAAGTACTGTAATATACTATAGAATACTTATACTATCATCGGTAACTGTTCATCCCCTACGTGTACTTCTTTCCCTGGCAACTGAGCTTCCCGCATCACTGCCCCTCAGCAAGAACGTCGGATGCTGGATCAACTGCCGTCCTGAGCGCATAGAGCCCATCCCCAGTACACAATGTGCATGCAGTTCACAATGAGTTGGGAAATTCTGCTTCAGTTTTGATCCCTGGTCCCCAAGCTAGACCCTAAACCCTATATCCCGCTATATAACCCCTATAACCCCCCAAAAAGTGCCCCTAATTTTGGGGGCTTACAGTTTCTATAAACCCATTATCCCAGCATTTGTTGGGGCCCATAGTTTTGACAAGCATGCTGATGGGCCCTGAGATGCGCACGCCAGAGATTTACATCCACGTGGAGCGACTTTGCTAGCCTGAGTATACTATATAATATACTGTTATATACTGTCATCTACTATAACATACTATAATATACTATAGTATAAGTATACTAGAGTATAAGTATACTAGAGTATAAGTATACTAGAGTATAAGTATACTATAGTATACCATAGAACAGTATGGTATGCTATAAGAAGCTTGCACACTTTGAGTTAGAACTGCCAGGCTTGGCGGCATGTGCAGACAAAGGGCGCCATGTCGGGCATCTCCACCAGCTCGTACAGGAAATCCTGCCGCACAAGCTGAGGCGCAGGCTCTCCAACACACGGCGAGATGCTATGTAATGCCCTATACTTGCTGGCAATGCCTAGGAAAGCGCAGGCACAATTGCAATCCGTCCTGCAGGCGCTCCTGCTGTCTGATGCTTGTGTCTGACTGCTGGTTGCGCTTGACTTCTGGCAACCTGCCACCAAAGTCCTGCAGACTTCCAAGTGCGTCATGCACCCTCTGAGCTGCACAGCGCTCAGATTCCTCCAGGGGCTTCAAAGTCTTGAAGGCCGGCGTGTACATATCATCTTCTTGGCCGACAAAGCCACGATGCCTCGCAAACGAGCACTTAAAATGCTTTATAACAAGAAGCTCGCGCAGTCAGCTGGCAAGTCTGGTATGCTTAGTTTCGGGCAGTCCCACAATATGCAACTTGTTCCGAGAGTTGCCTCCCATGCAAATGAACACAGACATCGGCAAGAGCGAGACCGCCCTCTCATGGACCCAACTGCCGCAAGCACAGGCACGCACGTGCAGCTTACTTCACGTGTTTGTACTCGCGATGCCACAACGGCTACATATTAACGCAAGATAGCCGCTGCCTTCTTCATCGGACTCCTGCAAAGAAATCACCCCGCTGCCGCCACCAAGGGATTCTTTATCATCAGCTTCTAAACTCAGAGGACGCCATACTGAAAAAAACCGACAGTGTAAGCCTACTTTGAGCCGCACCGAGTTCGGCTCGCAACGATGCGATGCATCAGCATCCCCAACTGACAACAACTGTATCGCTGCCACCACCCATCCGCGGCTGTCCTCATCCAATCCCGTTCCGCCCCCGTGCTGATCTCCAGTATCGGGATCTCCCCGCGTCTGCTCAATGATGCGGAAATCCTTCAGACAACAGTCTTGAACCAAAGCTCAGGTTGGTCGACTGTTAGGCAGGCATAAGAGTGCTTGTCAAGACCTGCTCCATGCCCACGCCAAGCCGTTGGAGACAGTGCTTTGCGGCTTCGACTTCACTCCTCTATCCAAACATAGTCGTATTTTCTGCAAGCCTTCTGAAACTAACTGAGGCTCAAGCGAGTTACACAGGCCCAAGGAAAGAATCATTTTGATGATGTGCATCAGTTCCTGGCGCTCACAGCATTGGGACTGGTAAGCATCCCGCCACATCTGCTTGAGAGACTTTGTGATATGCACCCATGGCGCCTGGTCAACACCCCAATCTTCAGCAGCCCAATCTTGCTGCTTGAACAGCACCTGCGTGTACAAATTCGTGCTTGGCAGAACCCTCCCCGCATGAATGAGCCAGCACGCAATGAAGCGACCACAAGTACTTGCCCGAATACGGGCATGTTTGGTAGATTGGGTTTTTGCCCATCTTGGATCGACAGTAGGATTCAGCTCTTGCAAGTGCAACGCAGAGGAGAGTCGCGCCTTGAAAAGCTCCCCAATGATGTCAGTCCTTTTCGGAAACCACAGCGCTCAATCAGACTCAAGAAAAGATACCGCGTCGTGCGCAAAAGCTGCATCGTGTGAAACACAAATCCAGCGTAATCTAGCAGCATGTTCTCAGAATCCGGCATATTTGCCCGGGCATCATCATCTGCTTCTCCTTCCGCATCTCCACGCGCCTCTTCGAGGCAAACACAAACCAAACAAAGGCGTGGAACTTCTGTAACAAACAGAGTAGCCGACAAACTGAAAGAATCCTCTGATCGGGGCAGGGAGGACATTCCCCTAGAAAGCTACAGACATTGAGGACCTCCCAGGTGAACCTTGCTTTCCTTTGAGGACTCTCGGATTTGTTGAGTAGCATGTTCTTACAATTGAACAGTATAAGCAAAGAAGCATTTTGTCAGGAGGTTTGTGCAAGATAGGGTTCTGACAAGCTACGCTGGCTGCGCAGGTGGTTTTCAGGTACGAGCCACGCAAGTGAGAAAGGTGACAAAATGAGGATGTTAGCTGTTTCGGGCGCACTGGGAAGACTGCAGCGGGGAATTCGAGGGTGTTAGAAGACGCTGCGCACATATCTTACAAGCCTGAGATGAGGGAACCGCGGCAAAAGTGATAGCAGCGAAATGTGGGTAGGCTTCAGTGACTACGGAACATCAGAGTGGATGTGCACATGCCCTCACCTATGCATATATCTACGTAGCAGCTTCTGAAATTTCTGAACAAACGATCAGAAACTCAAAATCAAAAATTATTAAGAAATATGAAAATTGCACAGTTTGGAGAGCACTCAAAGCTTGCAGTAAAAAGTGGATTCCTTACACAAGAACTCTCAAGAAGTGAAGAGACTCTCATATGAGAGTTTCCCAAAAGTAGTGTTTATATGGGATATTATCTCCCAATAATGGAGAATCAAATGGAAAAGAGAATGGAAAATGAAATGGAAGCTGCCATGATATAGCCGTTTTATGGGGATTAGGGTTTCCTAAAATTAGGGTACCCCCTTTGGGAGTCCCTATAATGAGGATTATAGCGTTTTGGTGTCTATATTGGGGTCCCCTCATTTTGGGAAACCATTATCCAGGGGAGCTTCATTTTCCAGAAGTCGCTGGACACTGGCAGCCACGGCAACACAGACATGCAGGGCCCAACTTCTCCAATACCAAATGCTTAAGCAAGAGCCCAAAATACTATAATCCTTATGATAGGGATCCCCAAAAGGGTACCCTACTTCTGGGAAACCCTAGTCCTTCTAAACCCCCATGTAATCCCAATTCTGGTCCAACAAGGCAAAAGCCCTAGTAGCTCAAATATGAAATACAACCTGAGGGTTCTGCTTTGAACATTAAACTGCCGCGCAGACTGCAAACATTTGTACATGCATCATGACGCTAACAAACAATGAAGGACATCTGGAGAATCTCTCTTCAAGTTGCTAGAGTGATGCTCTCATGTTGATGCTGTTTGTGCGGGATCACGAATGCTCGGGTGTGCCTGTGCGCCAGCCGCATCGCCCTCCTTCTCCAATAGCTCGAAGGCGTGTCTTCGCACCAAGTCCTGGCCCAGGATCTATGCACAACTCCTCCACTTGAGAAGGGGAAGAATGGACATTCTGAGGATGAGTATGGGATGTTTGCAAGATACGAGTGAAAGCATAAGTCAGCGCAGGAGCTTTGGTCAGCAAGCGGTCCGCAAAGATCGGCTCTGAGATCGTGGGTGGCTGGTCCTCCTGTCCTATCAAGCTGTTGTAAGCTGCTCCGATACTTTGCTTGCAGCAATCACGGAGGAAGTCAGCTACCGTTGTTGAAACGCTGTGCCAGCCCTGGCTTGTCTTACAGCTATGGAGGAAGAAACAAGCCAAGTTACTCTATGGCCTAGGTTATGTTGATCACCCTGTAGTCGACTCGTTCAAATGCTGGCTGAGGCTGCGTCCACCTCTGACGTAGCTGGAGAACCAGTCCTAAGCACTGCACCGCATGATTTGTTGTTTAGGGTTTGGGGATTAGCGGTTTAGGGTTTAGGGAGTTAGTGTGTACGGGGCGCAGAATGCGAATTGGATTGATTTTTCCTCAGCTTGTGGGGGTCGGTGACGCCACACGGGCAACAGCTGGCGAGAATGTGCTCACTCAATGGGCACAGATTTGGGCTTCAGAATGAAGCTTCGTGAAGCAAGACAATGATGTATTACAACAGGGCTCGATTGTGGAGTCTGATAGTGTCATGATTTGAGTGTTTGAGAATCTAAGTCTCAACCTGCAGTATTCCGAACACCGCAGATTGGAAGGGCAGACGACACGTCAGCAGATTCTGGGGCCCGGGCTTTGCCCCAAGTCCTCTGAACATTGTAGGCTTGCAGGACCTCGGCCAAGGCAAAATGCACCTAAAGATGCCTACTCAACCACCGTCAGCACCTGTGTAAACAGCAGGAAGATGTGATCTCGGACAAAGAAAGGCGACCTCAGAGACACAGCAGTCATCAGGAAGCAAGACCGTTCTGTTCTGGCATTTGTGAACATAAGCAGCATGGCTTTTCCGAGCGCCGGGCAGCTCGTAGGCTACACGTTCATCAATTGCCTGTCGCATGTGTCATTCACAAGCTAGTATGACTGCGCACCTACGAGTGACGCTAGGTCCCAAAAACAAACAAGGATCAGGCAACAAGCTGAAGGATCGGAATTTTGGTGCTCTAAATCAAGAATCCAAAAAAAGATTGCGTTGCGGTCTTCGGTCTTTTGGCTTCAGAGGTGTCTACAGTCACAACGACCCCATCTTTGGTGATGGTCATGGTCCCGGGTTCTGACGAGGCTGAGGATTTTTGCAGTCTATGCTTCAAAATGTTTAGCTACAGTAGAGGGATTTTATGTTCAGGCTTCAAGGGATTTTAGGATCCGGGTTCAGGGTTTCATGGTAGACCTGTCCGGGTACTGGTAGCAGCAATCATTTTTCAGGGATGGTCATGATGATTGGGGTGTTGAGGGCTTCTGAGGCTTTTTCTGGGTCCTTCCGGACTTCTCAGATGGGATTCAAGACGTTTGGGATGAGGTCCAACTTTGCAAGTTAGTCTTTAGGATTTAGCTGGCTAGAGCATCGGTGCATCCTGTTACCCTCTAGACTGTGCAACAAAGCTACAGTCAAAACTCTCAATCCCAAACCCTAAGCCGTCTTCTTCTGCTGCCCCCCTTCAAGCCAGCCATCGACCCCTGTCTTAGACTTCATCTGCTTCAAGGAGACTGCAAATTTGATTGCCTTCATAATTTCCACCTCCATCCAAAACTCTCTATATACTACGCGGAACAAAGACTTGCTGATGCGGCGGCCTCCACAACTGGTGATATTCGGTTGCCGAAGAGGTGAAGGTCCGGAAATCGCTTGAAATACTCCGTGAACCTGAGACGAACACCATAACGCCACTTGCGCCAGCTCAAACAAGATCTTGGCTTCTGGCCATCTGATGAGCAACAGCACCTAGGTGGGCAACAGAAAATGGATACTCACGGGAGCTTAAGTAAAGTCGTCACAAGAGCATGGCTCTCAAATACTTTGCCCGCATAACTGCTTGCCAGCCAGCGCGCTGCGTCTGTGGGCTTGGAAGCATTGCTGCGCAGCCGTCGTTGCTTGGCAGTGAACCGATTGTGAAGCACATCCTTCCCAGATCACCGTTACGCTACGGCTGGCGCGATCCGTGGATTACAGTCATACTGCAGGAAGCTATTGCCTCAACCTCGTGAGGCTTCAGCAGGATGCACATCATTCGAATGAAGCCATCCTGCACATGTGGGGCTACAACCTTTCCTTTCAGCAAACAGAGTGCAGGCCCAAAGTCCTGAACTATCAACGGAATGTTGATCATGTTGTCTTGCATGTGCAGCCAGAAGATCACATGGCGGAAGTACCTGCGGCTCAAGGCTCAAGAAGACATGGGGGCGCGGGGTCAACGCAACGTAGGTCATATGATTGATCGATTGATTGATTGATTCCCTGTGGGTCCAGGCCCTGCATGTGCAAGGCACGTCGCTGCACTTTGCAGCACATCACATCACAAGAAGCGGAGCCCTGACATGACTGCAGAACTCCGCATTCTAGGCACTCATTGCACCTAGCAAGAATGGTATCTACATCTACAGGTCCAACGTGTAGAGATCTGCGTCAATCTGCGGGCTGAGCACGCAAGAAATGAGCAGTAGCACCACGCCACAGCATCCTATCCCTCGCCAGCTCGTGCACATCACACGCCCCTCCAAGCGCTGAGGAAGAGTGCTCTAGAATTTGGAGACATCAGAATCGAACCTGCGTGGATGAAACCTGGCTGGATGTCTCACACCCGTCACCGGCAGTCCCTGGTGTCGCTGCCACCATGAGAATTCACGCCAGCGCATAGCTTGGGAGGCATCCGTGAACGTACGTGAGGCATGGCCCACCCACCCATGCCGTCTCAGGGACCAGTTCACATGCAGTTGCATTTCGGGTTCAGACATGAGATGCCATGCAGCACGCAGGCGTCGCCTGTGAAACTCAATCCAGAGCGCGTTGTGCACAAGGGGTACCCTCAGCATTGTTGCCAGCATCTTAGCTTGTATTCCACATACTGTCTCAACTGCTTGCTTGCTGGGTCGCCAGGTGGATGCAGCCCATAGGAGAACTGATCCCACTTTGGCATTGAGAAGCCGCGCCCTTGTTTCCAAGCTAGTGTTTTGGCATGTAAAAACATGTCTGAAGGATGCGAAGGCTCCCCAAGCCCGCGCCACAGCGATTGGACTGCCAACGTCAGCCCCCTGACTGCCCGACATCCATACTCCCAGGACTCTCGCCGTGATGGAACAATTGTTCATGATCAGCTTGCACTTCCCCGGAGAGATGATCAGCCCTCTGCCTGACAGTTGGTGACTGGTGAGATTCGCCAAACCTTGCATGCCAGCATGAGTACCCGAGAGAAGATAGACATCATGTACCCATGCAGCGGTGCGTGGAAAGGAGGGTTCGCCCAGAAAGAACACAGTGGTATCCAAGTCTATTGTCAACTCATCACGCACGTCTTCCAGCACTATGTCAATGACGGTCATAATGGCGTACTAGAGATCGTGGACCCGGGGGGTGTGGGTCTGGCCAGGACGGACATGACCGACCTGCGCTCTGGTCAAATCATCGACGCGTAGGGGGCTGGACATGTGAGTAATGTTGAATCCCGAATAGCGCGGGGGTCTCCAATTAAGTAAA